AATAACTTAACTATATAAGAAATCCTGCCTAGTGTTTACTAGCTACTTAGATAAAAAAAAAGAAATTTTTACTTAATTACTAACTATTTAGAAAATAAGCTAAAGACTACTTTTAGCTATAAAACTAAGCCTAAGAGCTACATATAAAATGTATTTTAAACTATATAATATGTGAAGCTATGTAGAGCACCAAAGACATGAGGAACTGGATTATATTGCTAAAGAAGGGCAACTACGGGTTTATATAGTACTAGATGAACCCATCATGTGACTTAAGGCCACTAATAGCTCTAGGCTGCAGCAGGTGGCATTGCTAGGCAGCAGTACGCCAAAGGAGTGTTGGTGGCTAGCGCATAGAGAGCTCCGTAACTGCAAACATAATATTATATAAGTATACATTTAATTAATAAATAAGCTTATGCGCATGCTATACATAAAGCTACTAAAGGAGATGCGCTAAAGCTTTCTACTAAATATAATACTCTAGGTTGTATAACTTTTATATAAAGCTACTAAATTAGAACTATATTAGTAGAAGACATACTATAACTACTATAAAAAAAGCTACACATGTATATTTCTTTATATAACCCCTATCTCTTAATTACTAATAAAAAAGAGTATACTTTTAGTATTACTAGCTTATAAATAAATAACACTTTAAGCATTATAATAAAGAATTTTATGTAAAAAAAAAAAAAACTATAAAAAGTAAAGTTTTATATAAAAAGTAAGACTATTTTAGTAAAAAAGCAGCTTCTTAAGTTTAATAGTAAAAAAGTTAAACTTACACATAACATAGTAGTTCTTACTTAAAAAAAATAAGTAAGCTACTTTTATATAATTAACCTAAAAAATAAAAATGCTGCATAATAATATATTAAGTAGTGTGTAAAAAAGGTATACATTATATCTATATGTTAACTAAAAGCAGCATTTAACCTATCTATTACTATATAAACTATAGACCCTTTGCATAATAACATTAACACACTTAACATATAAATTTAATTGTAGATAAATAATAGTAAGTATAGTTTTACTTTTCTACTATTATAGCTTAATTATATGAAGCTATTTATCTTTATAAATAAATTATTTATTAATAATCAAAACTTTAGCTTACAGCTAAGATTTTTAATTCTATTAAGTAATAAAAACTATATAAAGTAAAGTAACTACTTTAAAATACTAAGTAACATTATACACTAGAATTCTACTAAGTGTTAAAAAGTAACTAAAAGTGTTTTTACTAGTAAACTATATAAAATAGTTAAAAAGTTTAATAATGTAATTACTTTTAGTATAACTTTATAGTAAATTATATAAACACTTAAACTACTACTAATCTTAGTAGTAATTTATATAAATTTAAAGTTTTTATATAATTACTTTATTAAGCTAGGCACTACTAGTAAAAAGTAACTTATAATTAACATTATATTACTCTATAAATTATATAAAAAAAAGAAATTACTAAAATAAAGTAAATTAATAGTAAAAATAACTTAGTAAATATATGTATAAAAAAACACTAAATTAGGCTTTTTAATTATTAGTTCTAACTAACTACCTCTCTGTTTAGATAGAAGCATCTGTAGACTAGCTAGATTCTGTGCGCAAAGATGCTTTAGACTAACTAGACTAATAACACTTTTATATAAAGCTTATTTTTTTTATTATACATACTTATTTTTTTTATTATAAAATTAGAAAAGAAAGATATGTAAAAAAAAATAGTTTATTTATTTAGTATATAAAAAAAAAAAAGCTACTAGCCTCTCTAGAACACACTACCCCTTACATGTAGTAGTTATAATGCAGACTACAGCTCTACTATACGCATAAAGTGTAAGCATTAGCTTAAAAGTTAGCTAGCATATAATACTTAATAAAAAAAAAGCACTAGTAGTGCTACTATAATAATAAGCATATAAAGTTACTAAGACTTAACTATAACTTTAAACTAAAACTATATAAAAGTACTTTCTATAACATATAACTTTTACTGCCTATAGCTACAGATTAGTGCTAGTAGGCAAGATAATATTAATATTATAAAATAATAAAGCTACTATATACTACTTCTTAGCTTATTTATAATTAGCATTTTATATAAAAAAAAAGGAGAAAACTTAAAAAATTTATATATTTATACTAAAATGCTATATAAACTACTTATTAGTAGTAAAACTAGTTAGAAGAGTAACATAAATACACTCTAGGCTGCTAGACTGCACAAGGACGTTAAAGACGCCTGCACTAACAGCACTAGAGGTAGAGAAGGAAGGCTAAAGAGACATCTATGTGTGTGTGTGTGTGTGTGTATGTGCAGGCAGAAGTATCTATTACTATTAGCACTATATTAAAAAAAAAGAGCTAAGAAATTATATAGTAAGGCTTAAAAAGTAAAAAGTAAAAAAAAAAAAGTAAAAAACAAAAAAACTTTATTATATACACCTTTTTATACACCTACTTACGCAAAGATCTTACACTATTTTAGCATAAAACTCTATATAAAATAGCTTATATACTACCAAATTACTTATAAAGTAAGTGTATAAAGGCTAGATAATACTAGCCTAAAATACTTTACACTATTTATAAAGCTATTTATATAGTGTAACTAGCTTATTTTAATGTACAGCATTACTAAGGTAAGTCTTAATAAATAAAGTAAAGTATAAGTAAAATGTAACTAAATAAACTTATATAGATAATAAAAAAGTAACTTATATAAAAAATAACTTTTTAAATAAAAATAAAAAGTTGCTAGTATTTATATATAGTAGTAGTATTATAGCCTAGATATAAGTAATTGCGCATAAGTAAAACTATGTATCTATGTTATATAATACTTATATGTAAACCTTTATGCGTAAATATTTAAATATCCCCCTTTTTCTTTATAACGTACTTCACAGGCGAGTTGCTTACACACCTAAGTTGCTTACTTTTACTAAGACCCTACTAAACTACTTTTCTTACACTAATGCATTCTCTATAACACTACTTAGACGTGCTAAAAGAACATTAGATACAGCTTACACTTTAAGCTTTTAAATAAGACATAAAACTCTTAAAAAAATGTGCTATAGCTATATATAAAGTTCTATAAAAAATAATAAATAACTATAGCGCTAAACAACCTTTATAAGCTAATTCTATAGCTAAATTACAAAGGCTAGGTAATAAAAAAAAGTAGGTAATTATTAAGACTATACTTAAGCTATATGCGCAAAGAATTTCCTCTTAGATAGTATTTATAGCTAATATAGCTAATTCTTTACGCGCTAAGCATAATCTAGGCTATATTTACATAAACTAGCTTAGTATGTTTGTAAAGTGTTATTTAAAGCTTAAAGTAAAGTTTTAAGTATAAGTATAGTTAAAAGATATTTAGCTAATTATAAACTTTATTTTACTAAAGTTGTATGTGTTATTATCTTAGATGCTATACTTAGCTTTAATATTTTCTATAAGGCTAAACCTGCTTTAAATTACTCTAGAACTTTTATAAAAAGCTTTTTTATAGTTATACTTACACTTAAATGTTACTTTAAGCTTTAAATAACACTTTACAAACATACTAGGCTAGTTTATGTAAACATAGCCTAAATTACGCTTAGCGCGTAAAGAATTAGCTATATTAGCTATAAATGCCTTCTAAGAGGAAATTCCTTGCGCATATAGCTTAAGTATAGTCTTAATAATTACCTGCTTCTTTTTATTACTTAGCTTTTATAATTTAGCTGTAGAATTAGCTTATAAAGGTTATCTAGCGCTATAGTTATTTATTATCTTTTATAGAACTTTGCATATAGCTATAGCATATTTATTTAAGAGTTTTATGTTTTGTTTAAAAGCTTAAAGTGTAAGCTATATCTAACATTCTTTTAGCACATCTAAGTAGTGTTATAGAGAATGCATTAGTGTAGGAAGAGTAGTTTAGTAGGGTCTTAGCAAAAGTAAGCAACTTAGGTGTGTAAGCAACTCGCCTGTAAAGTACGTTAGTCTTTATTCTAGTTAAATATATAATCTTTGCCTATACATAAGTAATTTAGTCTTTTATACTTTTCTTGCTATAATTCGCTTCTAAATTAGCTAGACTTCTAGCTTTAGATTCTATAAAAGTAGGTTTAGCTATTAAAGAGAGTAGTTGTTTAGCTCTAGTAGCTAGGAGCTTCCCTTAGCTTTAGCTAGAGCATGTTATAATTCTTATACTACAATTAGCGGATAATTTAGAGTTAGATATTCGTGTAACGATTTGCTTAAATTGTTCTATCCTAAGTGTAGCAAGGAACCTCTACCTAAAAGATCCTTGCTTCGGCTCTGACCAAGGGCCCCGCCCCCTGCCCTACCCCTATTCCTATGTACTTAGTCGCACCGCTCCTCTTAGCTAGCTTGGTAGTTTTTCTGTATCCCTTTGTACAAAGCCCATAGGTGTCAATGGAATTCCCAGGTTTCTGAGTCCCCTCGCACTCCCATATTTCTCCGAGTGAATTCCCACAGCATTCAGACCCATTGTCTTGCCTGCGCCGTTACACTTAAAAGCAGCTTAGCGGACATTAGTATTGAGAACAAGCTGGGCAAGCAGAAAGTCACGTAACCATGGATACAGAGCAGGACCTTAGGGAGCAGTCCTCGGGCTTACTAAGGGAAGCACGTGAATTAATAGATCGCGCCAAGAGGGAGTGATCGTGGTGCGAGCAAATGCGAGCTACCTCAGCTCGTGCGATCCACGAGATCTACCTTGATTTCTATGAAGAACTGAGTTATACTCAAGGCGAACAAGATTCAACTTTCTGTAGTTTTCATTGTTCGTAGTTATTACTAATTTTTTATGCAGTTGCTAAGTTGTAACATGTTTCAATGTTGTACTGCGTCCTCTTGATCACAAAAGCGACCCCCAGCCCCTGCTAGTTAATCATACCTTTAATTGCCTGTCTCCGCCTGGAAGCAATCTGAGGCGAGCCCACCCTCCTTGTAGTAAGTGCCACCTAAATCTGCGCGTTGACTTTCTCCTTTTAGGAAAACATTTTAGCAGCCTGAAAGCTGTAACACTTCCTTGTTTTCCTTCTAGCCGCTTAATTGTCTTCTGAAGAATATCCATCTGAGATTGTACATTCCGGATGCTTTTGTTATCCCAGAAATTTGCATATTCCAAACGACACAGATCCAAGTGCTGCTTCAAGGTCCAGCCTGGGGTATTATTGACAATGGAGTCAAAGCGATTCTTCTTAAGCTGGCAGAAAGTGTAGGCTAACTCCTCAGCATATTCACCAATGTAGCTGCGCACGATGTCGCGGGTGATGCTATCGTTCTGGAAGTCGTAAAACTCGGTGCCGTAGACTGAGTGGTAAAGTCCGGCGTCGCAGACCTCGTCGGGGAGTGACTGTGCCTTGAGATAGCTGTAGACGTTGAAGAGGTGCTGGTAGAAGGATTCCTTGCCACGGTATTTGCTTTCTGAGGTGTGAGCCTTGAGGAATGCGAATTTGTCTTTGGTATGGCTCATGTCGCCGTTCGGAGTCGCCATGTTACTGGAAGTTTGCAGACGAAAAGTGGTTGGAGTCAAGGACAGGTAGAAACAGAGCTGAGCTGAATTAGTCCAGTACTTAGTGAACGTGTTAGTGGTAACTAACTAGCTGGGCCTGGATCCCTATGTTCGCCCGATATTATCTCCTTCAAGCTTCGCTCAGCAGGATGGAGTAGACAAGGCACTAGGGCTTTATAATATGTTAGATTTCACAGTGATCTAAAGGAGGCGCAATGCGATTAGCCCACTTGAGCGAGAAAGCTGGGCTAACCAGCCTCATTAGGGTTTATAAGGGTCTAGAACTCATGACCAAGGCTAGCATGTAATGTGCTTGCTATCTCTAACGCTTCATTGGCGTTGACGTGGTCCTGCAGGACGAAAATAGCTAGCTCACCAGTTAACTACCAGCATATAATAAAAACCCGTTTAGTTAACGGGGATGTACCTCTGTATTGCTGCCACATAATTCATTTCTCAATTAAACAACGACCACACGCCCGTGATGATGGCTAATCAATTCCCAATGATATGATCAGCGTTTACACAGTACCCACCTGCGTTGTATGAGCCTCGGCCTTTCTTGGCTTGTTCTTGGTGTCGCTACATTACGTCTGCTCTCGCTTACCAAGCCAACTCTAACGAGATCTAACGACCACGTCTCCCTTCTAGGCCATTTCATGAGCCACCTTGAATGCGTCTTTTTTAGTCGCAGCGTCGGGCGAGACTTCATGACCAGCGTCCTAAAGCGCGATGGAAGCGAGGGCTTGCGCTACCATTAGAATTAGCGAATTTTAACCATTGAGATTAGCAAATGTAGTCGATAAAAGCCCTCGTAACAGATATTTATAGCCGAACACATATCTGTTCGTTCGTTAAGTACGTGTTGCGTAGACTAATACTAATTATATAAAACGCTCCAGCAAACCCTCGTCTGTTTAATTTAATAATTCTCCCTCTTGTTGCGTTTCGTCTGTCCTTTTTATTCTTCAAAGAAAACGAAGCCTTCTCAAGACAATCGTCAACAGAAACCCTCGAAGCTATTACTATCCCAAAGACATCCTATTCTATTCTTCGCGGTCAAGCCATACAATGGGCTGTGGTTCAAGTCTGCCCGAATCCTCGGGTGGCAACTCCAACACCCCCATCAGGATTATTGGAGGACGCGGAGGCGACAACAGATATGGTGGATACTCAGGCAATGGGAACGGGGGCTATAGCGGTGGCGACGGCGGCGGCGGCGGCGGCGGCGGAGACAGTGGTGGGGGAGACGGCGGTGATGGTTAGGGCGTTGGTGATTAAGAAAATACATCTTGGTAGGTTGATAATCTTAGAAAGCTTGTACGTCAGAAGACTTACATGGATTAAAAAGACATTCTATGACCTAGTCACTGAACCTCAAACTACGCGAAACGTTTTTACACTTTTATTGTAAGTAGGTGGGCACTAGGTGTTACGAGAAATAGTAGAGCAAAGATAATGGGTGAAAGTAGTGCTCTCCGCGTATATTGTGTGTGGTATAAGCTCGGGTACCCTGAAACGACACACCCTGATACGACGCACTACCTTTACGCGATCAAAGTTATGGCGTATTGTCGATATTTGAATAGCCGTCTGATTATTTCTTCCCTCTACCATCCTTTTTCACGAGTTATATCGCCCCTAAGAACTAGGAGTTCCTTCACAGAATTTACTCGTTCTCTGGCTGGTCAATCAATGGAGGAACCTTCTGAACTATTCGAGTATACGTCTGCGCGATGGATGTTTGTCAGCCCTAGTCTTTTAAAGCCGACGCTAATCACTGACTATGGACTGGAGTTACAATGATGCCCTGAGGCGTTCTGAAAGAAGACGTGTCTTCAACGTATCCGAACTCAAGCGCCTTGCGGCCGCATCTGTCAATCAGAACGCAGAAGATGTCGCGCGTTTTGAAAAGCTGGCTGGAGGGGGTTTCAATCGAACGTTCCTTGTCACTATGCATGATGGATTTCAGTTCGTTGGGCGCATCCCGTATGCGGTTGCTGAGCCAAAGAACCTAGTCATAGCCAGCGAAGTGGCGACGATGGATTTCTCCGCTCACACGGCATACCGGTCCCAAAGATCTACGGTTGCTCGGCCACATCGGAAAACGGTGCGGGTACTGAATATGTCTTCATGGAGCTCGTCCGGGGAACGAACTTGGGCGACATCTGGTTTTACAGGTCTGAAAAAGTAAGGATCACCATTATCACTAGACTTGTGGAGTTAGAGTCTTGACTATTTGCTCTTTGATTTCTGGCAAGTGGAAGTCTGTACTATACCAACGCTCGCTTAGTGGCCCACGCTAGCTAAGCTATATACACTAGACCTCCTAGCAGCAACAACGTGGCGCTAGAAGAGACCGCCTCCTGTTTTAGTCTAAAAACTAGCTAAGCTGTCTAAAGTGTAGGTTAAACGCGCAACTGTCCTTGTTGTTAGTTAATTATTATGTAAGGACAGAGCTTTATACTACTGCGCTAATATAACTAAAAAGGTGTAAATAATTAACTAACAGTTAATTATTGCGTACAGAATAGTATATATACCTGTCGCACGTAAGGGCTATCTCAGCCTTACAGCTGCTAAAAGCCTACTAAATAATTTTTTTATATGTAAATTAAAGTGCTCTAGCTATATAATTCTATGTTTGTTAGTTATCTAGCTGTTATTGCTAACACTAATAGCCTAGTCCTTTAGTATATCCTTATCCTTATACTAGGCAGATAGGTGATGCTTGCCTTCAAAAATTACGTACAGAGGTATTACCTACTTATCTGTGTTAATGCCTTTAATAACTATTACCTATTTACAGTTACCTAGCTATATAGCATTTAGCTAATTACATCTATCTATGTCTATAATAACTGTTTAGCTTAATATAACTTCTATCTAAAAGCTTATCTTATTAAAATTATACATGTTCTAATTTATAATACTGTATTTTAATTATGTAGCCTTTATAAGCTTAAACAACTTACTTATAATTACTAAATCTTTACATTTTGCTTATTTAATAATTATATAGTTAGTTAAAGTAAGTTTTAACTGCTAGTGTACATGCAACAAAGTTAGATAGCTAGTTAATGCCTGCTAGTTAAGCGCCGCGCTTAGTAAGAAGCTTGTTAGCTGTCTTATATACAGCACCTAGAGTAGGCGCAAATCCTTAGGAATCTAGATTAAGTATATGCTTAATAATTACTTTCTTCTCTAGCTTCGTAAAATTCTTGTTGTTAGCTAAACAGTCACGTTGCATAGTTGTCCCTGCGCGTTATTGGTAGAGAGCTATTTAATTAATGTTGTAGAGTGCTGCAGCGTGCGCCTTAGTTAAAGACGTGTGTCTATTAAGAGCTTCAATAGCTAGGTTAATTCTAGCCTTTTATAAAGATAATTAATTGTATAGTTGTTAATGTATTATAGTTAGTAGTAAGTTAGCTGCTTTTTAGCAGTGGGGCTGAACACTTGCTTGTGTTGAACATTCGCTTGTGGACTATGTTACTTATAGTCTTTAAGACTAGCAAATTAGTAAAGTCTATTATATTCATAACATAGTTAGTTAGAGGTTATAATAATAGTTCTTATAGTAGACAAGTTTATTCTTAAGGCAGATAAGATTATCTTTAAGGTAGACAAGTATATTTTTAAACTAGATAAGGTTGTTCTTAAGGTAGATAAGGTTGTTCTTAAGGCAGACAAAGTTGTCCTTAAGGTAGACAAGTATGTCCTTAGGGTGGATGAGTATGTCCTTAAGGTGGACAAGTATGTCCTTGAGGTGGACGAGTATGTCCTTGCGATGGACTAGGTTGTCCTTGAGGTGGACGAGGTTGTCCTTAAGTTGGACAAGGTTGTCCTTAAGTTGGACAAGGTTGTCCTTAAGGTGGACGAGTATGTCCTTGCGGTGGACGAGGTTGTCCTTACAGTGCTTGACTGAGAGCTTTGGTAGCATACTTAGGAGATTGTAGAGGTTGCGATTAATGCAACTAGTAAAGTAGAGACTTTAAGTCGCCTCTTCAAGCTAAAAGGTTAAGATTAGTCTTAAAAGATACCTAAAGTGCTGCAAAAGAGCAACATGAATGTAGTAGAGTGTAACAACGAGGTTACAATTGTACGCAGGGTGTTAAAAGAGCTCTTACTAGTATTGGTTTAAAAACAGCTTAATTAACTAGCAAGCAATTGCTAGGCTCATCACTGTAACGCTATGTGAGGCACTAGAGGCTTGAGGAACCGGATTCTATTGCTAAAGGAGGGCAACTACGGGTTTATATAGTACTAGATGAACCCACCATGTGACTTAAGGCCACCAATAGCTCTAGGCTGCAGCAGGTGACGTGGCTAGGCAGCAGTAGGCCAAAGGAGTGTTGGTGACTATCGCATAGAGAGCTCCGTAACTGCAACCAACAGGTCTCTTTTAATATATTTTGCCTAACAGTTTTAGAGCAACTGTAGCTGCTTCTTAAGCTAGGCCTTCTTAGCTAACGCCCCTGCTATTTTCTAGGAGGCAGTCGCCTTCTGTCTAGCAGCAGCAGCCTCCTTGTTAGTAGCAGCAGCCGCACGATCAAGCGCAGCGCATTGGGCGCGGCGCGTTTCCTCCACCCCCTGCAACACCCTTAAGTAGTTGCGCTTAAGGGGAGAACCACATCAACAAGTCCCTCAAGCAAGTCGCCTCAAATACCTGGATTATCAGCGGTGATCACGCGATCCATAGTCATCGGCCAGTCGACCTGCAGGAAGGTGTTAGGGGCAGTAATTAACCTAAATATATGTTAGACTGTGTAAAGCAACTAAAGTAAAAAATATAAAAAAATAATAAAAAAACTTAAGTAATAAAAGTAAAATAAATAAAGTAATTAATATTAACTAAAAAGCCTTTAAAGCTTTATAATTAACTTACACTTAAGGCTAACTAAAAATAAAACATAATAAAAAAACAAGTATACTTAAAAAAAGTGTAAAAGTAAGATAAAAAAAAACTTATTAGCTATAGTGCTTATAGCACTTAAAAAGACCTAAGACAAAATAGTAGCTATAATAAAGTAAATAAAAAAAATATATAACTTAAATTAAAATAATAATAAAAGCACTTACTTAAAAAGTAAAGGCACTAAAAGTAAAAAATAAAGTAATAGTAGATAAATTTAAAACCCTTCTAGCTAGATCTTATACACTGCCTAGTAAATTGCTATCTTATGCTGCTATAGCATAATTACTTTTAAGTAGCTAGCTTAGTAACTTATAGACCTTTTTTACTAACATAGCACTTTTAATAATAATAAATACACTCTACTTGTTAAATAGGCTCCGACAGCTAGCTGCTTATAGTATGAGCACTTAAGTAGCAAGAGTAAGAGTGGTGTACAGTGTGCACAGCGTACAAGGTAGGTAAGGTAAGGGCAACATGTTTCTAGTTCTATTACTCTTGTCTTTCCTCTATATAGAGAAAAAGGGGGATATCTAGATGTTTATGCACAGAAGTTCGCGCACAAGCATTATGTGACATAGATACGTGATCCTGCTTGTGCGCAATCACTTGTATCCCAGCCGCGACGCTGCTGCTGCGTACAGACACTAGCAACTTTTCTTTTTGTCTAAAGAGTTGCCTTCTGTATGTGTTACCTCTCTTTTGTCTGTGTAGGTCTATCTAATTATGTTCTGCCTTTACTCCACCCTATTTATTAAGACTTGCTGTTAGTAATGCTATGCGTTAGAATAGGCTAGTTATGCTATGTAAATAGCTCTTCTTTTTTTTATCCTTCTCTTTCTAAGCCCTGCTGTACAATCCCCTAGCTCTTTTCTCTTTTTGTACAGTGCTAGCAGTGACAGATCCTTATAATAAGAAAGATAAGTGCGTACAATATAAAAAAAAATAAAGAGAAATAAGCCTTATATAAAGGCGTTGTTAGTCTAGTTAGTCTAAGGCATCTTTGCGCACAGGATCTAGCTAGTCCACAGATGCTTCTATCTAGACAGAGAGGCAGTTAGTTAGGACTAATAATTAAAAAGCCTAGTTTAGTGTTTTTTTTATACATGCATTTACTAAGTTGTTTTTACTATTAATTTACTTAATTTTAGTAATTTCCCTTTTCTTGTATAATTTATAAAGTAATATAATGTTAATTATAAGTTACTTTTTACTAGTAGTGCTTAGCTTAATAAGGCAATTATATAGAAACTTTAAATTTATATAGATTACTACTAAGATTAGTAGTAGTTTAAGCATTTATATAATTTACTATAAAGTTGTACTAAAAGTAATTATATTATTAAACTTTTTAACTATTTTATATAGTTTACTAGTAAGGACACTCTTAGTTACTTTTTTACACTTAGTAGAATTCTAGTGTATAATGTTGCCTAGTATTTTAAAGTAGTTACTTTACTTTATATAGTTTTTATTACTTAATATAATTAAAAATCTTAGCTATAAGCTAAAGTTTTTATTATTAGTAAATAATTTATTTATAAAGATAAACAGCTTTGCACTATTAAGCTATAATAGTAAAAAGGTAAGACTACGCTTACTATTATTTATCTACTATTAGATTTATATGTTAAGTGTGTTAATATTATTATGCAAAAAGTTTATAGTTTGTGTAGTAATAAAAAAGTTAAATGCTACCTTTAGTTAACATATAGATGTAATGTATACCTCTTTTATATATTACTTAATATATTATTGTGCAGCATCTTTATCTTTTAAGTTAATTATATAAAGGTAGCTTACTTATCTTTTTTAAGTAAAAACTACTATGTTATATGTAAGCTTAATCTTTTTACTATTAAACTTAATAAGCTGCTTTTTTACTAAAATAGTTTTACTTTTTATATAAAACTTTACTTTTTATAGTTTTTTTTTTTTTTTTTTACATAAAATTTTTTATTATAATGCTTAAAGTGTTGTCTATTTATAAGCTAGTAATACTAAAAGTGTGCTCTCCTTTATTAGTAATTAAGAAGTAGGGGTTGTATAAAAAGATGTGCATGTGTAGCTTTTTTTTATAGTAGTTATAGTATGTCTTAAACTAATATAGTCCTAATTTAGTAGCTCTATATAAGGGTTGTACAACCTAGAGTATTGTATTTAGTAGAAAGCTCTAGCGCATCTCTTTTAGTAGCTTTATGTACAGTGTGCGCATAAGCTTATTTATTAATTAAATGTATACTTATATAATATTACATAGTTTAAAATGCATTCTATATGTAGCTTTTAGGCTTACTTTTATAGCTAAAAGTAGTCTCTAGCTTATCCTTTAGATAGTTAGTAACTAGGTAAAAATTTCTCTTTTCTTTTTATCTAAGTAGCTAGTAAACACTAGGCAGGATTTTTTATATAGTTAAGTTGTTTTGCTTTTTACTTTTTATATAAAGCAAAGGTTAAAAATCTAACTTTTATACTTTATTAAGTTATATGCTATAACCTTAAAAGTGCTATTAGTAATTAAAGTGTTTATTTTTATGTAGTCTAATTTCTTAAATAGTTTTTTAAGTGTAGTAATTACACTATCTATATAAAGCTTAATAGATAAGGCCTAATTATTCTTTTTTTTTTAGGTTAGAAATACCTAGTCTAGACTTTATGCAGGTTTCCTTTGCCTTTTACTTCTTCTAGTATCTATATCTTCCCTTTGCACTAGTGCGGCATTGCTATTTTAAGGGGCTTAGTCTGTAGTAAGCTTTAGTTCTGCCTTTATAATATTTTTATAAGGCTATTTTCTCTTTCTTTTCTTTAGAGAATTTTTTTATATAAAAATTAGTTTATCTAGGTTATTTATTATAAGTAAGTTGTTTTTTTTTTTTTATAGTATAGTTTAACCTGTGTATATTAAAGCTTTAGTAGGCTATTTTTTTTTTAATAATAATGTTTCTTTCTTTAATGCTTTTAATCTTGTATAGGCTAGTCTAGCCTTTCTTCTCTTTTTATGCTATAATTTTTAAGCTAAAGAGGAGGTTAAAAACTTTATATGTTATAAAGCTATTATAAGTGTTAATTACATAATTAATATTTACTTTTATATAGTTTTTTTAAAGTATTTTTATTACCTTTTATATAGCGCTTACTTATGCAATAATGTCTAGTAATAGTAAAGAGTTTAGGTTAATTCTTAGGTATGCTCTAAAGACTAGCAGCGTAGGTACTAGACTGTGTAGGCTAGCTGTGTTGTTTAGAGCCTTAACTGCTATCTGCAGAATAGCCTTATTATCTATACAGTCACCTAGCTTAGTCTTTAGGATGTTAAACACTTATTAAAAAGGTGTGTGCGCGCGCTTAACTTTTCTAACTGCCTAATATGCTTCTATAGGCATCTGCCTGCATGTAGCTCTTATAATCTTTGCATAAGCTTAAAAATTCTTTAAAGTAAAGTTTATACTAAAGTTATACATAATATAGTCTAGAGGTCTTTAATAGGTGTTAATTTAGCATTTACATAGTGCATTCTAGGTATCTTATATAGACATAGATTTTAGGAATATAGTAGCCTAAAATAATATATTTATATTAATAACATGTAAAACATCTTTATTATTAATTTATATAATGTTAATAATAACTTTATAGTTAAAGTAGGTATTATCCTTAATTATAAACTTAAATCTTTATAAGGCCTAGTTATATAATTAGTAGAGGTAGCAGAACTTCTTAATCTCTTCTAGCACTACAGCATTAATGTTGTAGCTAGCGCTAGTTAGCATCTTTTAGAGTCTCTCTATATAGAGGTGTCTAAATTAGTAGTAAAGGCAGTAAAGTTTTAATTTAGTAAAAAAAGACATAAATTTTTTCTTACTAATATTAAAAAAAAAGTGTTTTTATTTTTATATAATAAAAACAGTAGTTTTATTTTTATGTATAATAATATTTAAAATGTTGTTAAAGTATACCTTAAGTTAGTTAGTATTTACTAGTAATAGCAGAAATAGTGTTAAAGTCTTTAAAATGTAGTATGTAACTAG